GGCGGGGGGGGGGGCGGGGGGGGTGCGGGGGGCGGGGAACCCGTTTGGTTCTGGGTTCCAGGTTGGGGGGGGTTTGGGTGGGGCGGGGGGGGAGAAAAAGGGGGCCCAAGGGGTTGGATGGGGGGTGCGGGGGGGTGGTTGGTTCGGGGTGGGGGGGGGGGGCCGGCTGTACCCCCGCGGCGGCCAAGGGGGGGGGGGGGGGGACCCCCCGCCGTTGGGGGGGGGGGGGGGGGGGGAGGGGGGGGCGGGGGGCCGGGGGGCCAACGCGGGGACCGGAGGGGGGTTGCAACATCGGGGTGGGGGGCGCCAGGTTTTTGCCATAGGGGGAAGTTTTAGGGGGGGGGGGGGAAGGGGGGGCGGGGGGGTTTTTGGGGGAAGATTTGACTTTGGGGTTTCGTACGATTTACGGGGGTTTTTTTTTTAAACCAAGGGGTTTGGGGGGCCCGGGGCCCTTCCCGGAAGGGGGGGGTGGGGTTGTCTGGCGGGGGGGCGGGGGTTTCAAACCGCCGGAGGGGGGGGTTGGGAGTTTGGGGGGGGGTTTGGGGGGGGGGAGGGTTGGGGGGTTGCGAAGGGGGGGGGCGGGGGGGGCTAAGCCACTTTGAAGATTCTAGTAATTGAAGTACTACTCATCTTATCTGGTTAAACATGGGCATCCACATCTTGGGGAATATTTATATTAATGGTTCTTTCAAATCCTTTGACACTCTCCAGTGTGAATATGGTTGTCCAGCTGCCAAGCATAAAAACACTTACACTCAAACACTGTTTTAGAAAAATCACGGGATAAAACTATAACAAGAGCCAATTTCATATGCCATCTGGGATACAATAATCCTCATAGAGACTAGGCATTCATTAGCAGAAACGCAGAAACAGAAACAGGGGTATTATATCATGTTTGTCTATCAGATAAAGATTCTTTAAAAAAACAGCGAGAGGGTAATTTGATAATTATAAGGACAGAAGTTTTACTTCTGAATTTCTTTAGCTATATATTCAATTACATTCACTATGTTCGATCAGTAGTCAAAAGAAACTCATAAAACCTGCTGCGCCCTTGAAATTAAGCTATTTGCATATTACTTTCTCTCATTTAATAGTGTGAATTTCTTCTCTATGTCCTGTATTTCCACCACTTTCTCTGCTCCTCATTTCTACTGCATCATTCCCAGCTCCTCTGTTTCAGTCCCCTACAATGCCCCAGTTTTCGCCTTCATTTGCTTTGAAGGCCACACATCACTGGAACCACTGCTGAAGTACATCTAAGCTATTACTACAGTCACTAAAGGGTGTTGTTAGGAAGTGGATATGCTATCATACTTTCCCACAGGGACTGAAGGTCCTGAAGACACAAGCACTACTAGCATATGATATCACAGGTAGCACACAACAAAATTTAAATGCAACCTAACATAAGCTGTGACTGCAGTACCAGTGAAGCTCTCCATTACTGGTCTCACCAATCTCACCTCAACTTGAAGATATCTTTACAACCCATTGCCACCCTCTTCTTTTCTAGTATTTGTCTGTTCATTTCTGTTACCATTTCCTTGCTGAAGTCTTCATTACGGTCACACGTGAATCAGCGGTGTGATTTCTGAAGCTCCAGATTTTGTTCTGTTTGTACAGCATCTAATACAATGGGGTCTTGGTCCATGACTGGGGCTGCTAGTTACTATATGGTAATACAAATAAATAATAATGAAGTAGCAGCATCTGGGGTCAGAGAAGGAGGCAGCATAGAGGCTGCAGAGCCAGAGTTTTCCAGTAAGACAGGGAACAAGAGGAGAAGAAAGGGGGCAGGAGGGAAATAAGAAACCCTTCTTCCCACAAAAAGTGGGAAAATACACAACAGTAGTCTTCATTAGATTTACAACCAGAGGGCAACAACTAAAAATACTGTACACGATACACTGAATGCCCTTTTAAATGCACTGTATACAATATTAACTTCTGACATGTTCTGCAAATTGGACATTAAGGCATTACAACAATATAACCATTAAGATTCAACCTTTTTAGAGTAACAAAACAGACTATTAAATCATGTCTTAAAATTTACATAATACAGCCCTCTGATGAGGTCTTCATATTTGGGAATAAAACCCTATGAATACACTGGATTTTAGCGAACAATCAAATTATTAGAGCATCTTTGAGAACTAAAAACTTAATCCTGTGAAAAATAGATATCACAATCTTTTAGGGATGGAGCTGTGGGCAGTCTGGCCTAGTGGCCGGAGCAAGCGTCTAGCGCAGGGAAATGGAAGCAAGGGTCAGAGTCAGAAGGCCAGAGCCAGAAGTGGGAGCTAAGTATACTAACTGAAGGTTTGTTTACACTTAAAATACTACTGCAGTTGTGTCACTGTAGTGCTTCAGCGAAGGCACTACTTACGCTGACAGGAGGGGTTCTCCCATAAGCATACATAATCCACCTCCCCAAGAGGCAGAAGCTAGGGTCAATGGGTGAATTCTCCCGTTGACCTAATGCGGTCTACACCAGGGGTCAGGTCAGTTTAACTGTGTCACTTGGGGGTGTGGATTTTTCATATCCCTGAGCGATGTAGTTATACCGGCATAACGTCTTAGTGTAGACCAGACCTAAGTATGAAAGCACACTGATAAATTAAGTTGCTATATGTAACTAATACAACAATTTAGGTCTTAATTATTCATGTGTTACTTGAATACTGACAAGCAGTACTTCAAGTATGGACAAACAAAATATTATTCATCACCATCCCCAAAAACATTTAGATTTTGCAAAGTAATTTGGTATTTTTTCAAATACCAGTGAAGTCAGCTGCCTGAGAACTGAAAAACTAACCTGCAAGCAGTGCAAAGGAATTTAGAAGTATGGCATTTGATTTCAGCTGTCCAGTGCCACCCTCCCCTATAATTAATATTGCTTAGCCTAATGACATAGTTTGCGGGTATTAAATTTTTGCAAAATGGAAACAACATGGCAACCTATTCTGGAGTTAATTTGAATGTTAATCACATAATGAGTGCTTGGAACAAAAAGTACTTGGGTCAGAGAGGTGAACTAAAGCGGAAGGTCTTTCAGGAGTTTCTTTATCTATATGATTTTATCTGCAAGAGCGATAAGGAAAGGCCTGTGCCTTTTCAATTTAATTTTCTAATCACAATAGTCAAAGACTCCAGCATGTCATTAGCCATGGCTCCCAGAGACCCAACTTCCCTGCAGTAAATTTAACATCAAGCAGTTTAATTTAAAAACCAAACAACCTATATATCACTGTTCATGCACAGGAAGGTTTTCTTTCCCGATGATAATACTATTGCTTAGGTAAATTATTTTTATTTTATATTTGTATTCCCTCAGTAACAAGAAGTATTTTGTGCTCTACTGACTCTGCATATCTTCAAAATTTCTAATTTCAAAGTTGTATGTTTATTCCCAGTAAAGCAATTGATCCTCTTATAGAATTTATTTAGTGTATATGTCTTTTTATTTTTTTCCTGCATTGAATCACAGCTAGAAGTTGAGTGATACAGATAGAGAGCCTTAAAAAAAAGTATAAGGCTAATACTCAGATGGTATAAACCACTGTAAATTAAAAAAACTTTTGAAAGCTAAATTTAACTAACATTCAATTTAACTAATTATTGCATTCAAATTAATCGCACTAACTACTTGAATTAGTTACTTTGCTTAAGACCTGGTTAAAACAAAAGATGCATTGGCAAGCTAATGGGTTTGTACTCTTCACTATTCTAACTTAGAACATTATGGCTGATACTTAAACATTTTCATCCAATTGTTCTAATAAAATAAATAAATATAGACTCATTTGCACAACAGCATCTGTTAATTATAAAAAGACAATGATTATCTAATAATTTTTGATTACAGAGTATGAAAAGATCAGCAATGACAAATATGCACAACAAACCTTAGGATAATTCTGAATGTTTAATTGTTCAGTCCTCCCATATTCTATTTTTAGAAGATGGAATTTAAATATCATTAAATCAAAGAAGAAATAACAGCTGTTAAGATTTTATATACAGCAGCTATTACTGAGATCTGAGAGATTAAAAATGACTTTCTGAAAGGCCACAGGTTTGGCTAATTTTTTTTTAAAGAAACAAAATACATTTAATTCAAAATATGACGTACTCTAAACCCAATGAAATAATGGCTTTCAAAAGCCAACATTATTATTGCTAAATAACCTTCTCTCTCTGCAGGTATTCCATGTAGTCACAGGTTGATATGAAATTAGCTACTCTAAGTAAGTCTTTGCCCAACATGTAACTCATTATCAGAGGATTTCTCTTGTAATTAGTCAACTGTATCTAGGTAAGACTCATGAAAAATGTATGTCTACTTTACAGTATAAGCCCAAGTTCAAACTCAGGCTCAAGCCTAACACTCCTTCTGTCTACACACAAATCACGCTCCAGGGCTCTGAATCAGGTCCTAGAACCTCATGGGGGTGAAGGGTTCAACCCTGAGTCAAGCTGGGACCTAGGGTTCAAGCTCTATTTGCAGCGTAAACACAGCCCCCCTGGACTTGTGCTCTGGGAAATAGCCAAAAGTATCCCACACGCCAACTTTCTTTGTCCTCTGGATAGTCAAATTTTGCCACACTGCACCATCAACAAAGGCCTAGAGCTGCCACATTCTGGGAGGGTGCTAGGAAGTCTGTGATATGTGCAGTTAGATTTGGGCCCCCATAATGCAGTGTAGACGTGGGAGCCCAAGGTTGTGACCCAGGGCTCAACAATTCCTAATCTAGGGTTGCAAGTGAGTGTAGATGCTCAATCCCTAAATTAATAAACACAGAGTTTGCTAACTCGAGTTCTACTAACCTAGGGGTTACATTGCAGTGTAAACATACCCTTGGTCTCTCATTCAGATCAGGAAATAGACAATTCTTTAATTTCATCTTTTAAAAAAAATATCAAAAACTAAAACCGCACTTCTCATGAGCAGAAACTTAAATGCCACTAAAATAACTAAGAGGACTCACCAAGTTCATTGAGACTCTGGGCAGCTTTTGTTATTTCTCTGCTTCCTCCTTGCAGCTGTCCTTGAAGTCTCTTACTTAGATACAAGATGCGTATTATTCTCCGCAGCAAGTCACAGGCTGCCTGTGTGGAAATCATGGCTTTAAGTGTATATTCAGTGTTCGGTATGCATAGTTTTAGGCCCCAATCCTGGAAACTCTTGAATATAAGCTTGTAGTTAAATACAAAACACACAAGCATTTGCAGAATCAGAATAGTGGTCAGAGATGCACACTGATAAATGTCAATTTTTTCATAAGTACTCTATGACTTTATACAACAACATTCACTATTTTAACTATTAATGTTACTGCACATGATTCTGTAGAAAAGCCTCTGATTTTATTTGCTATGCAAAAATGAAATATTTACATTTGATAAGTTACATCACACCTTATTTATAAAGACAATTTAGCTTTATTTTGTATAATGTCCTTCACAGAAAATTTTACCCATGTCAGTAAAAAGCAGATACTGGCTTTTGTTCAGCTGATCAAAGTTTGACCAGAAGCAAAACAAAAACACAAATATTGATTTTGTTTGTTTTGTTTTCTTTTATCTCAGGAGATAATAAATCTTAAGGCTGACCAAGACAGTCAATATATGTATTACCATGTTCTCTTCCAATATCTGGAAGACTTCATTTTGGGAAAGAATTTTAAAATGGTTACTCTCAAACTCAGACCAGGAATAAAGCATAAAGTTGTAATGGGTAGAGTAATTAACAACTGAAACCATTTACCAAGGATCGTGATGGATTCTCCAGCACTGAGAATTTTAAAATCAAGACTGGATGTTTTTCTAAAAGATATGCTCTAGGAATTATTTTGGGAAAAGTCTATGGCTCGTGTTATATAGGACTTCAGATTAGATGATTATAATTGTCCCTTCTGGCCTTAGAATCTATGAAAACCTCTGTTCAGCCAATTGTTAAGTCAACATAATTCATAATCTTGTAAAGTGTTTTGAGATTGGCTGGAAGGCACTAAGTAAGATCCAAGTATCTCTTATTCAGGAAACACAACTGCATATGCTTTTGCTTTGCCTTTGTTCACATTGACCTAGGACACAATACTGTTGACTTCTGAGGCACTTATAATAGGTTCCTGGCTTTTTAACTGACTGTTCTCAGACAAATCTTTTCCTCTTCTAGGTAATAAAAAGGAGAAGCAGAAAGACATTAAGAGGTACATCCAAGCCACAAGAGATCTATTTTCAGACAAGTTTTTAAATGAAATGGAGAGATTCAGGAAGGTTCTTCCAGATGGCATGAGAAGCAGAGGGGAAAGTTTTCTCACCAGCAGTGGCAAGATTGCATGAAACAACAGATAGGAGGTAGTACTAAAAAATAAGAGTAAAAAAGCAACATGGAAGGTTTTAAAACAAAGAGAGCAATTATAAACTAGATCTTGGGAATCCAGGTCAGTTCATATAGGATTAGGTTGGTGTGATCATGGTATATCGTACACGCAACATTCTGGGCCGGCTGAAATCTTAAGAAATAGGACTTAGAAACCCAATGCAAAAAAAGACAAAGAAATGGTCCAGATTTCAGCAGAAATGGAATCCATGCAATGAAAAACTACAAGGTTGTGGCAGTGGAAACTGTTAAATTTGTAGACATCAGAAACAAGCATGACAAAATTATGAATAATGGAGACACATAAAGAAAAGGAGTACTTGTGGCACCTTAGAGACTAACCAATTTATTTGAGCATAAGCTTTCGTGAGCTGCAGCTCACTTCATCGGATGCATACTGTGGAAAGTGTAGAAGAACACGGCTGTTACTCTGGAGACACATAAGAGGTTTGTGAAGATGATGGATCGGTTCTGGAGTATGTACCTCTTGCCTAAGAGAGGATCTTTTGAGTTATTTAATTTAAGGAAGTCAAGATGAAATTAAGTATTAAATATTTAATAAGTTAAGTAATTATCTGACAACATTGCAGAAGTACATAGAGTTTTGTAAATTGAAGTTTATTTAATTTCTTTGGAAATCAAACATGCAAGTACATGTACCTAGATACACACACCAACACAAATAAATGCATCATGTAATAAAAAATCCAAAGTATTGCTAGTTAGTCACTCCCCCTTAGGATGCTAGCACCAAGTGACAAAAGCAAAGATATATTCAGTTTAGTATTCTTCAACACCTAGACATGACAAGAAAAAAATGAAAGGGATGCCCCACTGAACCCAGATGACTGAAAACACTGTAAACCTCATCGCTTTTGGCACCATACGTCTTGAAGAGTAATTTTTTTTTCAGTGTTGCCAGAGGACTTCCCACATGACTCTCATTAATGATAATGGAAGTCATGTGGGGATCATACTACTGTAATTTACTAAATGTTTGTAATTCAATTAATTTGCTTCTTTAATGAGAAAAATATTAATCCACATCTATTTGTATCTTTTACAGTCTATGAACAAAATTTCAGCAACAGAAATGAAAAAGCAGCTTTGTAGAATATAATGTGCTTCAAAAGTACAGTCTGGTGCCAATATTTTGCTTTTTGACTTAACTAAAACTGAACATCCACAGAAAAATTCAACCAGATATGAACCCTAAGATCAGAAAATAACAATCTTTTGAATATTGCTTATATTACATACTAAAAGCCTATTTCATTTTTATTAACTTATTATTAAGGCTACGTTTTAGTCATGGGGGGGCAGTCGGGGGCAACATGGGCGCTGGGGGAGGTAGCCCGGGATCCTGCTGGTGCTGGGGAGGAGGGTTGGCAGGGGCTTCCTACACTGCTCCGCATCCCTGCAGCAACTAGGTGGCAGAGGGGTCAAGGAAGGGGTACCGCTGCTCCTGCCACAAGCGCTGGCTGCCGCTGCTCTCATTGGCCGGGAACAGCAGGCAATTGGAGCTACAGGGGCAGGGCCTTTGGACGCGGGCAGCATGGAGACACCCTCCCCACAGCCTTGGAGCTGCAGGGCAATGCCAGTGGGAGCCGGGGAGCTCCACAGCCCAGGTAAGCACTCCCCCACAACTCCAACCCTGTGTTCCTAGTCCTGACCCCCCTCCCACACACCCAAACTGCTGTTGCTGGCCCAGGGGCTGCATAGAATCATAGAATATCAGGGTTGGAAAGGACCTCAGGAGGTCATCTAGTCCAACCTCCTGCTCAAAAGCAGGACCCATCCCCAATTAAATCATCCTGAGCCAGCACCACCCGCTGCAGAAGTCTCAGAAAGTCGCGGAATCTGTGACTTCTGTGACAGACTCGCAGCCTTACTTATTATCCATTATTACACACACAAAATTGATCCCCACAATGAATTATCAGACTGAAGAAATAAGTAATGGAAAAAGTTATATTTAGATATAAGAGCAAAAAAAAAGTGAAAAAGTGTTAGTTCTAGAGTAGGCTGCAAATAAACCACCTACAATAATGGTTCTCCTAATGTTGATAAAATATTCTCCCTATTATGATAACTTATGCCAGATTTTAGGTCAGAGGAAAAAAATTCTTAAGAATGACAAATATGTAGACATTGCAACTACAATGTATAATTTTACTAATGCAATTTCACACCGATTTATCCTATACCTATCCTTTGCCAGTGTTTTGTTTTACCCAAGTTAATAATGGTTAATATTAAAAAAGGTATTTATTCCTTTTACATTGATTAATTTGTGAGTTCCACTAGATTATATATTTGGGAATTTCTGTGAAGAAAAATCTTATTTAATAGCTATGTAGTTCAGTGGTTTGAGTACAAATAAATGAATTGCTATAGTCTATTTTTGTATGGATTATATTATATTTATATGATGAAATTTAAAAGCAGAACAAGTACTTCACACGTAAAGAACATCTGATAGACCATGTTCAAATAATATATAAGATATTGAGGTCTCTAGATATTTGGACTGACTAGCTCAACTGAAAGCAAAAAAAGGTTCTTTCTTCCTGGAACTACTCCTGTACCAACGTACTAATAGAGAGGCATTAGCTGCTGTGATTAAGGATTAAAAAAATCCAAAAACTTCTTATTTTCTAACCTCTCGAGTTAGTATTTAAATACTAAATACTTTCATATTTTTTAACTAAGAACTTCCTCAGTAACCAAAGATTTGCCTGTAGCTGTTCCAGTGCAAGATACATCCCTATGAGCAATCAGAGTATCTGACTTTTCTTAAGTGTTCTGTCATATTCCCAGTTTTAGTGTGTCCACCACCTTCTTGTCTTTAGAACAAATAAAATTAGCTTGTGTGCTCTTTACGGGAGAAAAAAATATCTATTGGTGAATATTTTGTATTTTACATTACTTACATCCAAGTACAGAAATGGGTCTATTTTTATCTGGTTTTCTAGATAAAATGTAAAATTCATACACTATGCAGTTTATAAATGTGTGCTTGTTCAAAGGAGTTGTGGAAATGTTTGGTTAGGTAGCTCATTTTCTTTGCAGTTTTCTTTCTAAGCTACATGTACCTCATCCACATATTTTAACTGTTAATCCCCTTTAGCTTGTGATCTGCAAAGGCAAGACTAAGACCATGCTCAGAAGAGGATTTTATGATGTAAAGGCGGAAGCATGTTTTGTGATTCTGCTGAAGCCCCTGGTATTGTGGGGGTAGAGCAAGGCAAAGAACACCACAGCAACAAAGCAGAGAGGTTAGAAGTTTGACAATGATGTCATGAAGGGAGTGTTTATAAAGAGGTCTTTATACTTTAAAACACTTAAGGATAGCAGAATCCAGACCTATGCATACCGAGTAATACTTCAGTCTGCGAGTAGTATCATAGAAATCAATGGGGCTATTTGCAAACTAAAGTACTACTTAATACATATTACTTAATAAATTATTACTTAATACATACTACTTAATACTTATAAGTAACAGTAGTAGAAACAAGTCCTTAAACATTATGTGATTTAGCAAAGTTGTTCTGCTGCAATTCCAAAAGGACTGAATCCTCAACTGTAGTGCTGTTTGCATAGCTAAAAATCAGATACTTATCAATCTGAAACTCGAAAGTGTAGTTCATAATAATATTAGATATGACAAAAAGATACAAATGGACAGGAAGAAAAAGCAAAGGGGATAACAGCATCCATAACACAGGTATATCTCTAGCTTTACAGATACATTCCTAGTTCATGCACTGAAGCTATTGTAAATATGCATGAACAGAAACTCAAATATTTAACAATATTTAATTTAACCTTTCAGGGTTTTGTGTTTTGCATTTGCACCTCTCTCCAAGTTCTATTGTACAATTTATCACTATTATAAAAACCCACTGTTGAGGTGTTTAACAACTAGTAAAAAGAGTTTCCTTCCAGTCCCTCTCTCTTCACCAATATCTATATTCTCTGCAGGTTTCACTTATGTATTAAAGATGAGGATAACTGTTTGGGTCACATTTAGTTCAACTGGCCACACTTTTGCCATCCTTATATTAAAGAAATTATTCCCCAAACTCTTCATTAAACTCCAATTGCATTAAGGGAGAAATAACCTCAACAGAACAATACTAAAACAAAGTTTGATATCAAATAGGGTGAACAGATGTCCCGATTTTATAGGGACAGTCCTGATTTTTGGGTCTTTTTCTTACATAGGCTCCTATTACTCCCCACCCCCATCCCAATTTTTCACACTTGCTGTCTGGTCACCCTAATATCATACATATGGAAATAGAGGTAGAGGAGAACAAACAACCTGTATTCTGCCCTGGTATCCACACCCACCCTCAGCCCAAATTAATATGAACCATCCATCCAAATAGATACACCTTCAGCATTAAAATGAGCCACCCACCCTATTATACTGTCCTTCAATATATATATATATTAACTAGGGCTGTTGATTAATCGCAGTTAACTCACGTGATTAACTCAAAAAAATTAATCACAATTAAAAAATTAATCGTGATTAATCACAGTTTTAATCGCATTGTTAAATGATAGAATACCAGTTGAAATTTATTAAATATTTTTGGGTATTTTTCTACATTTTCAAATATATTGATTTCAAATACAACACAGAATACAAAGTGTACGCTGCTCACTTCATATTTTTTATTACAAATATTTGCACTGTAAAAATGGTAAACATAAGTAATAGTATTTTTCAATTCACTTCATACAAGTACTGTAGTGAAATCTTTTTATTGTGAAAGTGCAACTTACAAATGTATATTTGTACATAACTGTACTCAAAAACAAAACAATGCAAAACTTTACAGCCTACTAGTCCACTCAGTCCTACCTCTCATTCAGCCAATCGCTAAGACAAACAAGTTTGTTTACATTTATGGGAGATAATGCTGCCCACTGCTTATTTACAGTGTCACCAGAAGTGAGAACAGGCATTTGCATGGCACTTTTGTAGCCGGCACTGCAAGGTATTTACGTGCCAGATATGTGAAACCATTCATATGCCCCTTCATGCTTCGGCCAGAGGACGTGCTTCCATGATGATGAAGCTTGTTTGAAAAATAATGCATTAATTAAATGTGTGACTGAACTTCTTGGGGGAGAATTGTATGTCTCCGGCTCTATATTACCTGCATTCTACTGTATATTTCATGTTATAGTAGTATTGGATGATGACTCAGAACATGTTGTTCATTTTAAGAACACTTTCGCTGCAGATTTGACAAAACGCAAAAAAAAGGTACCAATGTGAGATTTCTAAAGATAGCTACAGCACTCAACCCAAAGTTTAAGAATCTGAAGTGCCTTCCAAAATCTGAGGGGGATGAGGTGTGGAGCATGCTTTCAGAAGCCTTAAAAGAGCAACACTCCGATGCAAAAACTACAGAACCCAAACCACCAAAAAAGAAAATCAACCTTCTGCTGGTGGCATCTGACTCAGATGATGAAAATGAACATGCACTGGCCTGCAACTGTTATCGAGCAAAACCCATCAGCATGGACGCATGACCTCTGGAATGGTGGTTGAAGCATGAAAGGACATATGAATCTTTAGCGCATCTGGCATGTAAATATCTTGCAACGCCATCTACAACAGTGCCATGAAAACACGTGTTCTTACTTTCAGGTGACATTTTGAACAAGACACAGACAGTATTATCTCCTGCAAATGTAAACAAACTTGTTTGTCTGCGCAGTTGGCTGAACAAGAAATAGGACTGAGTGGACTTGTAGGCTCAAGTTTTATATTGTTTTATTTTTGAATGCAGTTTTTTCTTATATAATTCTGCATTTCTAAGTTCAACTTTCATGATAAAGAGATTTCACTACAGTACTTGTATTAGGTGAATTGAAAAAGACTATTTTGTTTTTTTACAGTGCAAATGTTTGTAATCAGAAATATAAAGTGAGCACTGTACACTTTATATTCTGTGTTGTAAGAGAAATCAATATATTTGAAAATGTAGAAAACATCCACAAATATTTAAATAAATGGTATTATTTATTATTATTGTTTAATCACTTGACAGCCCTAATATTAACTCTAACGTATCTCCATAACAAATCTGATTGCTTATTTTTGCTGTCTTTACAACTCCTCTAGCACTGAGCTTCAGAAATAGAAAGTGGCAGCAACTACAAAATGAGAATGGGAGAGGTTATATTTCCTATATTATTCTTGAAAATAGGGATGAGGCTAAAAGAAACAATTTTTTTAATCAATTAAATGAATAACATGGAGTTTAAGAGAACATGGAAGGAAGAGATACTGGCTCTGTGCGGGAAACACTGTTTCTAAAAAAGCGTAGTTGATTTCACTTGTAGGTCAGCAGATTCTAGGAGAGTTCACTCACCCCCTACCCCCCTCCCCCGCTACACTAATCTAATTCGTGCCAACTTTGGTCTCCTACTTTTCACAGAATGGAAACTGAATTTTGCCTTGCAAAATGAAGCATTGCCCTTTTAACCCATAAGTAGTTGCACCAATGGATTACAAGGATTTAAGTTCACTGAGGAATTGAAGTCTCTACCAAGATGTTTTTCTTCATATGGTAAGTGATTTAACTTTTTTTTTTTTTTTTAAGAAATCTGGAAGCAAAATAATTATTTTGAAAAATAAAGTTAAAATAAGTAAATTTATAATGTAGTTTACCTGAAGCTTTGCTAGCTGTGCTGTGCGAGACACTATTTTGTTGTATGGATCGATGATTTTAGCTCTTATTCTGTTAAGAAAGGAAATACTTTTTAGAAATGTAATATAGTGGAAAAGTGCAGAAGTCATAAATACTTTTAATCACATAATGAATGACATACCTGTCAACAGTACTTTGTAGAGCACCAATTCTAGTCTGCATCATTTGGAGGACACCTGTGAAAAGAAAGGCATTTTACGTACAGTCAATAGAGCATAACTCATCTGACATAAAGTTATAATTTTCCCACTTCCAATAAACCTTTTTATATAAAGTGAAACGCTGTATATTTAGAAATAAACTGTACAGATCATAAGTCAACTAGTAGATTATTTTAATGAATTAATCTATTATACACAATTTAGGGCCAGATCCTGAAGCTTTTTAGTCACAAGTAAATCCCAAGAAAATCAGCCTGACTACTCATGGCATATAATGTAGTCTCCTTTAGTTGAAGGTGCACATGACTCCTGGGGGAATTCTGCACATCTGTAGACACACACAATTCATCTGTCTCACATAATTTTGTATTTTCCCATCATAAACACAGTTGGCTGTTCTAACACCACAGCAGCCTCTGGTGGACAAAAGGCAGAACTGCAGCACTTAGGCAAAATACAAAATTCTATGCCCAGTGCTGCAGAATTCCCACAGGACTAGAAGTTCATCACAGCACACTGCCCGCAGAGCCAGATTAGGACAGAGTGGGGCACACGGGACTGCTCAGGGGGGTGGGTGGTTACAGACTGGGGTTCAGAATGGCTAGTGGGGGGGGTGGACAGGGCTCAGGAGCTAGTGGGGTGACAGCGTTGAGCCTGGGGTTGGGAGGCTGCAGAGACCCAAGGGGATGAGAGGTGTGGGGACAGGGGCAGAGGTGCCTGACTGAATGGAGATGCTTGGGGTCAGCAACAATCTGCATGGGAGAGGCTTCCCAACACCCTAACAATCCCACCCCCAAGAAAAACCTCCTACCCACACCCAACACCCTCCAGGTTCACTCCTCGGCTCCTTCCCTCTCCCTCAGCTTTTCCGTTACCCCTGACTCCCCCAAGCCTGTGCACTGCTTCTGACAGGTGTAGGAAATACAGTTCTGTATTGTAATTTAAATAAATTACACAAAGTTCTGTATTAATATGCCTCATAAGGAACCTATTTGTCCAAAACAAAACAAAAAAAATTACCAGAATCTTTTTTTTTTGTTCTGTACTGTTACAGACATACTTGCTGACAGATAATTTATTTCAAATTATCAAAATAATTGTAACTGGCATGATTATACTGTTATTTTGACAAAATATGCAGAATTTTTAATTTTTTGGTGCAGAATTCCACCAGGAGTAACACATCCACAATTAGTCAATTTGGTCCATGGCTCAAGAATACCCTTGGATTCCTTGCTAATACTAAGCTCTCATAGCTACATCGGCAAGTAAGGCTCTTTAACCTTCGGTTGGCTAGAGGAGACTCCATCCCATTCTGGCAGACAATGGCCTGGCCGTAGTTATTTGCACATTCCGCAATTCTTGGCTAGGTTACAGCAATGACATATATATGGACATGAAAAGAAAAGGAGTACTTGTGGCACCTTAGAGACTAACAAATTTATTTGAGCATAAGCTTTCGTGAGCTACAGCTCACTTCATCGGATGCTTTTTGCGAATACAGACTAACATGGCTGCTACTCTGAAATATGGACATGAAGTCATCAGTACTCAGAAAACTCCAACTACTACAAAACACTGCAGGGCATCTCCTCAGCAACAGAGGCTACCACAAGCTCATCAGAACTGTCCTCTACTCTCTACACTGGCTTTCCAAAAAAGTCAAGTTAAAGATCTCAATCCTTTTCTTCAAGGCGCTCCCTGCCTTGGGCCAGGGTATCTAAAAGACCCCTTAAATCTCTGGGATGAAGACTGTCATCAACAACTACACTCCTCTAGAACAACTGAACTCTACAATTAGGGCAAAGTTTGTCTGTGTAGGAGATAGAACTTTCTCTGAGGCCAGTCCGAGACCATGGAATGAACTCCTCCAGGAACGAAAGAGGATCACAAACCTCACCAACTTCTGCTCTAAGTGCAAGGTGAATTTCTTTGACCTTGCCTTCTCTAATACATAGCAAAAACCACCTTCCAGAACAAGACAGTCCACTGTATACGTTTCTTCCCCCTAGGGAAGAGGATGAGAGCACAAACAGCACGTTACAGAAGTGTAGTCACATTGCTTAATACACTACTGGAAGGTGCTCTGATACTACCGTGATAAGTGCGGTACTAGAATCTATATAGAATATGGTGCTATTCAATGTGAGTAAGGATATCTCCATCTGAACCTTGCTGAAAACCACATTCTAAATCCTTCTAGACATGAAACCATAAAGGGCAAAATAAGCTTATTGATGCTTTAAAGTAACAGGTTTCAGAGTAACAGCCATGTTAGTCTGTATTCGCAAAAAGAAAAGGAGTACTTGTGGCACCTTAGAGACTAACCAATTTATTTGAGCATGAGCTTTCGTGAGCTACAGCTCACTTCATCGGATGCATACCGTGGAAACTGCAGCAGACTTTATATACACACAGAGAGAATATGAAACAATACCTCCTCCCACCCCACTGTCCTGCTGGTAATAGCTTATCTAAAGTGATCATCAGGTTGGGCCATTTCCAGCACAAATCCAGGTTTTCTCACCCTCCACCCCCCCCACACAAATTCACTCTCCTGCTGGTGATAGCCCATCCAAAGTGACAACTCATCACCAGCAGGAGAGTGAATTTGTGTGGGGGGGTGGAGGGTGAGAAAACCTGGATTTGTGCTGGAAATGGCCCAACCTGATGATCACTTTAGATAAGCTATTACCAGCAGGACAGTGGGGTGGGAGGAGGTATTGTTTCATATTCTCTCTGTGTGTATATAAAGTCTGCTGCAGTTTCCACGGTATGCATCCGATGAAGTGAGCTGTAGCTCACGAAAGCTCATGCTCAAATAAATTGGTTAGTCTCTAAGGTGCCACAAGTACTCCTTCTCTTTTTTTTAAAGTAACAACGGCTTCAAACAACAAAAAAAGAATTCATACCCACTAGCACCGTGACTCAACATATTTTCAGTTCTGAACAAAATCAGCATTTATAGTCTGCTGCACTCCAAGAACACAGTTTGATGCCCAGCATGGCTCTTCAGACAACACAGTTTAAACACAACTGTGGGAGACCGGGTTTTTGAACTTGTCATGCTTAGCATACAGATTTGCCATGTAACCAATGCGCATGTTTGAGCAATTGTAAGAGACAAGACACATACAAAGGCAGAACTCACTTGGCATTGGCAAGACTACAGACAACCTACAAAAATCATTAATTCAGAGAAGCCAATGTATAAGAGGAACTGAAAATCCAATCAAACAAGAACAAAGAACTGAAACATATAAATGCCCATGATCAGGCCGCTTTAGTTAAGAGTAAGTCAACAATACCACTACAAGCTCCTTTTAAGTTGGCTACAGAAATTACCAGAAAAAGTCCACACAGGGATATATTTTTCCTAATATATGGTGAGATAGCCATTTTAGCTGTTTCTTTTAAGAGGACAAAATAAAAAATTATTGTTTGCTAAAGTGTAGTTTATACCCTCTTCAAAACAAGAAAAGATTATAGAATCATTTAGCAGCAAGACAACATTAATCCTCAGTATTTTTTTTGTAATATATTTTTGGAGTGTCAGGGAGGATATAAAGGAATAATTCAATATGAGGTTTTACAACAACCCCACTCTGTACATTTAGCATATTTTATTTGTTTATATGGGAGGGGGGGGGAAATGCTTTAACAATTGTACAAGAATTGATTGTATTACAAAAATTCCTTTTAGCAAGTAAAACCACATTCAAATTTTATATCACTTTCCCCTTCCCCTATTCATGAAGGGAACAGGTATGCTGTAGTGCAAACTTCCCTCATAATGCTCTGTCAAACCCTAACTTGAACACACGATTAGGGTATTTCACTCTCTTTGTATTCCGTGTTAAAACTGCTAACAAGACTGCCAAGCACTAACAGTCATTTTTGTGATGTAGACACCTGTCCACTTAAAACTTGACATGTCTGCAACCTGTGCTTGGAGGACTATGAAATCTATTTTGATCATTTTAAGCACACTTACCCATTCTAGATGTCTCACAAAAAAGTAAGAACATTGTACACTTTGGGGGCAGGCACAAACTAGAACTGAAGACAAGTGATCATCAAACAGATATGGTTGGGGGGAAGGAAGGAAACAGAGGGACAACGATAATAAGATATGTACATATCTTGATGGTACAGTTCCGTGTATGTGCACATGACAACTATTTTCCCCTTCACTTCTCAGGCATAAATTTCATTTTTTTTATTTCTTTTTAGGAGAAATCTAAATGTGGCTAGCCAGGTCATTAGATTAAACAGGTTTAAAACATGAATTCCACGCATAAGCAGTGGCACAGAAGACATACCTATGAGAGACAGATACAAAAGGGGTACTGAAGCTGGCATCATTGGTGGAACAGAGTTGGCAAGGAACTGAATGAGGGGGACATGGAAGTCCAAGATGTAAAGTTGACAGCATTTGCTCACCATGAGCAAACAGATTTTTTTAAGCTCTGATTTAAAATACAGACAGAAATGCCCAGGTAAATGCAAACTGTCACTCCAAACATTTGGGCACAAGAAAGAGTGCCACCTCAATGTTCATTTGCTTTCTGATTTAATATTAAAGGTGTTGAATGTTTCTCAAACAATTTGGCATATTCAGTCCAGTGATCAGCAGGACTTTTTTTCCCGAGAAAATGCATGTCGCTATTCTTTTGCCCTAGTAACGTATACATGTAAGAGTCCAACCCTTCATGCAATATAGATACAATAACCATGTATTATCCTGGTTAGGCTAAGTCGAGGTGGACACAGTTTAAGATGGGCACGGCAACACGCAAGATGCCAATGTATGTGAAGTTTCAGAAGTGCCTTCCTACCAGGGATCCAGACCAAAATAAGAAGCCCAGGGATCCTGAACAACCTGGACCGTAAAGGGTTAAAATAGTTGTAAAAAGATACCCAACACATGGCACAAAGGAGCGGAGAAACACTTCGATGCCTGGCATTTTGACCTAAATATACAATGTCAGTGAGTTTGGGCATCATAAACCTTA